ACTCCGGAGGACGATGGAGGACAGGAGGGCCTGGCGTGATGTGGTCCATGGGGTCGCAAAGAGTCAGACTCGACTGTGTGACTGTGTATTAAAGTGGATGATTAAAGAGTACTGAGTGTATTTCGAATTTTCTCAAAATTTCTGGGTGTCCCTCCCCTCAAAATACCCCCCTTGGATTCAAAACTGCTAGAAATTTTATCTCTAATTTAATTTTTATTTCATTTCTATACAACCGATGCAAAAACAGATGCCAATTTAACTGAAATAAGGACAACTACCATTTTGTCCTATGTGTGAAGAAAACCATAAAAGAAGCTGAACTTTCAGACTGACCCAGAGTTGTTTTGGAAATTGAGTAATATCCAGTGACGTCCCATCATCCAAACAGGACTGACATTTTGATGGATCACCACGGTCTGCTTTCACAGCCTCCTGCCTTCAACCACAGCCAGGAGAGATTTCAAGGAGGACATTTCCTTCTCCCACTGTGGGAGACCACACCTGCTTGGTAGAAGTTCTAATGCATTTATGAAATCTTACAGCTGGTCAGGCTAGTTTTTAAAAATCAGCTCACGTCTTATACAGTAACATTAAAAAGATGAGTGTTGCCTTAAATGTGAGCTATGAATAGTAGGTGCACTGAAGTCACAGCTGGTTTAAGGAGCAAAGGTTGTCAGCAATGCTCCCTCTAAGCTGTGAAATCTTGTGGGCAAGAATTCTACTTTGTGTTTGTGAGCTACTGGCATTAAAGTTGTGAAGAAGTTGATTTGGCTACTGCATAAATTAGTTTGCTCTGGAGCCATCCTTCCTGAGCTAAGACAAGAATGTGTGAGCCGGAGGCTAAAAAACTGTGAGCTGGCTCACACAAAGGGAACACTGGTTGTCAGCCGTTTTAATCCCCCCCTCCAGCATTTCTAGGACTCTTGTTACATACTGTCCCGAGGGCAAGACTCCCCAGGGCTGGCCACCGCCGCTTGGGACTCCGGTGGCACCGCCCACCTGAGCACCGACGACAAAGGAACCTACCGGAGGCAACCCTTCCTGCCCTCCCTTTCATGATCTGCCTCAGTTCACAGAATCAGCATTGCTGTCAGATGGACATCCAGCCTCTGTTTGAAAACCTCCAAAGGAGAGCCCACAGCTCCCGGGACCCGTCGAGGCAGCTCCGCGGCGCCTGGGCAGAGCCTCCACCGGGGAGTGGCCAGCGCAGGAGGGGGGTGCCCTGGGAGGAGTGGAGACGACCACAGGAGAGGGCCCGACCACAGCACAGAGCGGCACGGAGGGAGAGAGATGTGGGACGGGCAGGGAAACTAGGGCTGGAAGGAAGCCACACTCCAGCCCAGCATCCTGGTACAAGAGGAGGGGGCGGGGCCATAACTGGGGTGGGAGGGCGGACCACAGAAAGGAGAAGGTGATACGGGGCGGGAATAAAAGGGGGAATAGAAGCGGAGGCCGGGGAGGAGAAAGCAACACTGACAGCACCGAAGGGAGAAGCGAGAGAGAGACGTGTCTGAGTGTGCCCAGGGAGTGCGGAGGGTGGTGACGTAACCTCCTGCCCTCCCGAACATCTGAGGCCTCTGTGGTTCCCCCTTCCCACTCCTCGGGAGGCAGGCCGCGGTGGCGTATAAGTCGGAGCAGCAGGGGGCCAGCGACAGTGACGAGGGGTCGTCGAGCTCATGTGACACATACAAATTCCAATTCTTGGGGGAAAGTTCTTCAAGGACAGCCACACTCCAATGGAAAGTGCCAACAAATCACAGCCAACTTAGGGTTACCCTGTATGGTTTTCAAAGCAAAAGGTGAACAGAGGTGGTTTGCTACGGCCTGCCTCTGCGTAGCAACCCTGGACTTTCATGGTGGTCTCCCATCCAAATACTAACCAGGGCTGACCCTGCTTAGCTTCCTAGATGTGACGAGATCAGGGTTGGCCTGGGCCATCCACACTCCAATACTGTACCACAGATTTCTTGCAAGAAGCTACCTTTCTGTCCGCTTGCTCTGAATTCTCAGTGGCCTCCAGTACAGGGTTTGCTCGTGACCTCTTCTTACCTTTGGTGCAGGGGCTAACTCCAAATCTGAGGCTGAATCCGATTCCACCGTAGCCTTGACGCCAGCCGCTTCCGATTGGGATTTGTTCTCTGCGGACCTACAAAGAATGTGTTTGCAGACACGTCATGGCAACACCAGCAGAGCAGACAGGAGAACAAATGCCCAATAATCTACTAGGTTGATCCAACCTGGATAATGATGACCGTGTCCTCGGCCTTAGAGGGGTCAATAAGAGAGGCCGTAAATCGGAGGGAGAGCTTTGTGTGCGAAAGGTCAAAGGTTCGATCTCTTGTTCAAAGGGCGGTGGGACTGGGAATAACCTTTCTCTGCCCGAGACCTTAGAAAATAGGTCCTGTGCTTTTGGAGCCCCTGGACTTCCCCACTGAAGCTACCAGTCACCTGGGCGATAAGCCCCACATGGAAATTGCCACTGAGGTAACTGGCAGCGGCTTGAGAGTGGACGTCTTGAGAGACCTGATGTCTTGCAAGGCTGAGTGGACATGGGAGGAGTTTGTCAAAAACCCCACATCTGCACCCACCTCAGGACACCCCAGGTCACAGAATCAGAAGGAAAAGTAGTAGAATACATTGGATTTATACCCCGCCCTTCAGCTTGGGAGTCTCAGAGAGGCTTACAATCTCCTTTCCCTTCTCCTCTCCACAGCAGACACCCTGTGAGGTAGGTGGGGCTGAGAGAGCCCTTTCAAGGACTCCTCTTGAGAGGACGGCTCTGAGGGAACGGTGGCTGACTCAAGGTCACGACAGCAGCTCCATGTGGAGAAGTGGGGAATCAAGCCTGGTTCTCCCAGATTAGAGTCCGTGCGTTTACCCACTACACCAAACTGTCTCTCTTTCAGAACCGGCCTTTTAGTGGCAACACTGTCTGTCTTGGAGATCTCCTGGCTTGCCAGCATCACCTTCTTTCTAGGCAACTTGTGCAGTGAATAGCCTCAGAGCAGGATCCCGGTTACTGTGCTGGCTTCTCCCTCCTAGGCTGGTGGAAGGCCTCAATTGTCAGTTGATCCCCTCCAATGTAAATAACTGACAATCGGCTGCCCATTGAACGATAAAAGCTGCTGACTGAGGCCTGCCTAACAGTGGGGCTATCCCTGAGTGAAGGTCAAAAAATGTGTTTTTACCAGATAAATTCTTTCGATGGAGCTCTAGAAGATGAAGGTTTTCTCTCAGGCACCGGGAAGCCTTTGCTGGCCCTGTCTCCATGAAACTTCACTTCATCCCATTTCTCTAGCTGCGCCTGAATGTTGACTGAGGAAGAAAAGAAGAAAACGAGATCACGTGAGGGAGATGCAGCTCGGAGAGGTACTGCTTTGCCTCCAGATCCTAGAAAGGCTGGGAAAGACATTGAGTTGGATCCAGAGTACATTCACTCAATGAAACTGCAGAGCAGTCAAGTTAGAACAGATACAAGGAAATACTTCTTCACCCAAAGAGTGATAGACACATGGAATTCTCTGCCACAGGAGGTGGTGGCGGCCACAAGCATGGACGGCTTCAAGAGGGAATTAGATAAACGTATGGAGCAGAGGTCCATCGGTGGCTATTAGCCACAAGGTATAGATAGGAACTCTCGGTCTGGGGCAAGTGATACTCTGTATTCTTGGTGCTGGGGACGGACGGACAGTGGGAGGGCTTCTAGTGACCTGGCCCCACTGGTGGACCTCCTGATGGCACCTGGTATTTTTAGCCACTGTGTGACACAGAGTGTTGGACTGGATGGGCCATTGGCCTGATCCAACACTGGCTTCTCTTATGTTGTTTTGTTATTTTCTGGTCATGCGAGGCACTTTTCTCAGTGGAGCAGTGGATTTCCTTGCTGGGATCTTAATTCCCAAGTGGGTGGCGCCCAATCTGGATCAGGAAGACAGTGTGTTGGGGCTTCAGCCCCCCCGGGCATCATTTTCCAGACCTGAAACAGTCCCATTGGGAGGCTTCAAATATACTGATCAGGTCAGGGAATTCAGACACAGCCCAAAGAGTGTAACATGTAGTTTGGCCCAAAGTATACAGGTTGGGTAGGCAGAAAGCAAGTAGGCATAGGCACAGACTGTGATGGCCTCAAAGCAGCATCAATGCCCTGAAAGGCCAATCAAAACACATTTCACACACGTTTTCAGCTAACGTCAAAACTCAAAGTGTATCTCTGCCCAAATTCAAACCTGCAGAAGGCGGCCTCTTCCGGCCATCCCCCCACCGGATGAAATGTGGCTTCAGGAGCCATCCCCAACACCATCAGGAACTAAGCTTGTTAACAGACACCACTGAGGATGCCTGCCAGATATGTTAGCAGAAGCATATAAGCTCTGAGCATATAAGAAAGTGAACGAAAGGAGGAGAAGTGTGTCAGGGTTAGGCTGGAGTCAGGAGAAAGGGAGGGAACCTTGGTAGGATATAATGCCACAGAGTCCACCCTCCAAAGGACCCGTTTTCCCCAGGAGAACTGATCTTAGTCATCTGAAAATCAACTGTAATAGCGGGAGATTTCCAGGTGACACCCGGGCTGGCCCATAGCTAACGTGGGGCCCGTGGGGCCTGGCCCCCTGGTCTTTCTCCTGGGCCCTCTCCTTCCCGGGCTGCCCCCAAAGTGCCCCAACTTGCCACCTGCATTGTGCTTTGATTTAATTAGTTGGCGGGACCCCCCCCAGGCCCCCTCCCAAAAAACTCCCTAGCTACAGGGCTGCACCTGGAGGTTGGCAAACCCTGTTGGGGGGGGGGTCAATGCACCTGCATATAAATGGACAAAACACGGACACAAAATGCCCAAACATCATATCCCTTCTGTTCCCCCTCCGCCCCCATAACCAGCTATCCAGATGGTAAATGTTGCCGAATATATTTGAGATTCATCAGATTCCTGTTGCAATTATTACAAAAAAGGCAAAGATCTTTGGATAAATTTTTATGGGCAGGTAAAAAGGCACGTATTAATTTTGGCACCATGCGTAGATTAAAGGGGGATGGAGAGTTACAGTATTCAGACCTTCAGAAATATTATGAAGCTTCACAGCTAGTGTATGTCACCAAAATGATCAAATATGAAACCAAATGTGACTGGATTATTATATGCCAAGAGTTTACTAATACTAAATCTTTGAAAGATATGATATGGAATGCATCCTGTGAGAGACCTTATGCTATTCAACATAATGAATTCTTATGTTCTCTGTTGTTGGTCTGGGATGGGTATAGGAAAAACATTATTACCAGAGACGTCTTTTTTCCACATAATGAATTCTTATGTTCTCTATTGTTGGTCTGGGATGGGTATAGGAAAAAATTATTAGCAGAGATGTATTTTTTCCTCTTCTTTTTAAAACCAGGGATGGTTTTTGCCTGGAAATCAGCACTCATTTTATTCATTATGGAGGAAAGCCAAATTGGAAAGGCTCATAGACATCTCTAATAAAAGGGGCCTTGTGGATAAAATTGAGCTTGAAGGTAAACTGAATAATAACCTGCATTGGTATAGATATCTTCAATTAAAAAACCTAGCTGAATGTTTAAACTTGTTCCAACTTAGGGGAGCGGTGGCACAGAGGATTTATCCTCTGGTTAACATCTGAACTGAACAGAGTTTCTGTCACTTCTAGCCCGCGCTGGTGTGAGCTACCAGCCTTGTCCCCAGCTCGCCGTCCACCCAGCGGTTTGAAAGCTTCGGCGAGTAGATAAAATGGGTACCACTCCTTAGAGAGGGTGGGCACACTAAACCCCTGCAGGGGAGGTGTTAGCCGGCGAATGGAATGTCCAGCTCATAAGCTCGTAAGCCTGGAAAAAAGACCTCTTCGGCATTAAGAAACCTGTGATGGGCCAATCCAGCCAGGCGGTGCCAGTGCGGCACTACGACTCAAAAAGCAGCCCAGGAAGAACCAACGTCGTCAAGCCAAGCCGAAGTGAATGCTGTCCGGAACATGTCTGAAGCTTTCAGCTGAACAAAATCCCCGTCGGCTGCAAATGTGTGCGATTTAAAGAATTGTATGTTGTTCTCCCTTACCCCTATGAAATTGTTAGTCCCTTGTGTGAAACCTGTGTAACTGTAAATCGCTCAGAGCCAGCAGCTCTGCCCGATTGAGCGATCAATAAATCGAAAGGTATTATTATGATTATTATTATAACTCAACCATTTACAGCTCTAGAGCAAATACTGAATTCCTCTGGACAGGTAAAACGGGGCACACTTTCCACAATATATAAAAATTTGATATCTTTGGATAGTGCTAAACAGACATCATATCAAAAAAGTAGCAAAGCAGCTGTCAGTTGGAATTATCAGATCAATGGTCTCAGATCTGGTCACCTATCTTTAATACCTCTTCATTTGATATAAAGCTTCAGACCTTTAAAATTCTCTCTCATGGATATTTAACCCCTCTTCAGTTGTCTCATATGTCTTCTAAATGTGCTCTATTGTGCTGGAAAAGGTGTGGAGAAGTGGGTTCATTTGAGCATTGCTGGTGGAGGGGCAAGGTCTTTAAAATTCTCTGTGTGGAGAAGTTAAATCAGATTTATATTATGACTGGTTTTAATATACCTATGGAACCAAAACTCTTATTTTTAAACTACTGGTCAGATCTAGATATCCCAAAATCTACCAAAGAATGAATAGTAACATTATTGATTGCAGCAAAAACAGCTATAGCTGCAAAATGGAGAGAGAAGGCAGAGCCTTCCATACATATGTGGCATAAACAAGATATAGAATCTATATATAATGGGGAAAAATCACTGATCAAAGTACTCAAAGTAATATGGATAGGGATATATATCCAAATTTGTAGTAAAGTGGTTTCCTGTGTTAGGTTATTTGGCTTTTCACAATGTGGTTCCTAGAAATTGGTTCCTATGAACTTGCTTAATATATCTGACATTAAAAAGGTTGAATGATACGTTTGTCAGTTGGATGATTATCACAGAGATGTATTGATAGTGATGATAGAGACAGAGAAGAGGAGGTCATTTCTGGGGGATCGCCCCACCCCCAGCTTCCGGCTGCCCTGCTTCCGGCCCTCATTCAGCCAGGAGGAGGCAGGAGAAGAGGGAGGGTAAGTTGCTTCCTCCCTGCCTCTCCCCACCCCTGCCTGCCTGGGGCCAGGGAGGGCCTTCATATCTGACATTAAAAAGGTTGTATGATACATTTGGCAGTTGGATGATTATGACAGAGATGTACTGATAGTGATGATAGAGACAGAGAAGTATTTTTGTATGAAGTTCTATGCATCTTGTATGTTCAATATCTTACTTATCACAAGGCTGCACGATACTCTTGTGTTCCTGTTTTGTATATATGTTGTAATAAACTCAATAACATTTTTTTAAAAAAGAGAGAAAAGGAGATTAAAGTATTAAGGATCATTAGGACATGGTTGCAGTTGAATTGAAGACAGACACCTTTGCTTCAAAACTCCATGCAGGACATTCTATTGCGGTATAAATGAACACAGGCAGGGAAGAGCCTGCAGGAACGCCTGGCTGCTTGATTGAAGGGGCACTTAGGGCCAAACTAAATGTTGTCTTTGTTAAAAAATGTAGTAAAACCCACATGTAGTTGTAAACACACATGTAGCAAGGAATGCAAGGGGGACACTTTCAGGAGAGAATTTACCGCAGGAGGGAGGGAGAGTGCTTATTCCCTTCTGTATCAGCCGGTGCTAAAGACCCTCACAGAGGAAAAATATAGAATATACTCACATGAACAGGGCTCAGAGAGGAATAGCCTTTGCAACTCCATCTTTGTTACAGGCTGGCCCTTGCCTTGAGTTCTGTGAGGGAACGGCTGTCAGGTCACCCCCAAGAGAATATTCCTCTCTCTCATGCTTGTTAGCAGTTTTATCTGGGAAGCCTGGTTTGTTTTCTCTCACCACTAGATGCCAGGTGCAAGATGGCCTGGCTCATCCTAGTGTTTGGGATAGCGTAATTAAAGATTTTTTGACTTGTAGCCATCAATTAGGGTATAAGTTGCTTAGTTTTAGCTATGTAGCTTGTCTTGAAGTCTGGCTAAATTTCGCTCTGTGTGTGTGCGTTCGAGACCCAGCAGATGGAAGCTTAGCCTGCAGATTTCTATCACTGCTTATTAAAACCTCCTTCTAAGCAAACCTGGATCTTGAATCTTGTTTCTTTGGGATTTCTGTGAACCTGGAACTCCTAGGCAGAGCTCCAAACAAGAGCCACTTTCGGATAAAGTAAAAGGTAAAGGTTCCCTTGCTCGAAAGCCAGGCGAATCCGACTCCAGGGTTGCGGTGCTCATCTCCGTTTCAAAGCCGAAGAGCCAGCGCTGTCCGAAGACGTTTCCGTGGTCATGTGGCCGGCATGACTAAACACCGAGGCGCACGGAACACTGTTACCTTCCCACCGAAGTGGTACCTATTTATCTACTTGCAATTTCTTGCTTTCGAACGGCTAGGTTGGCAGGAGCTGGAACTGACGGTAGTTAGAAACGCCGAAAAGTAGCAGAGACTCTGTTTAAGTATGTACAGAGTATTTACAGTTTATTTACACTGGAATATATACAAAGTCCTTTCTGAGTCAAACTCACTGTTCACTCCGACAAGGTGCTCCGCAGACAAGCGATCCCACAAAGGAGATGTGTAGTACTGTACAGTTCTCAATATATAGGTACATAGACCAATCAGGTTGCAGCAATTTACATTTAGCTGACTCATGGTGATTATGGCAGAGTCTGATGCAATCGGCCAGTCACCTGACCCCTGACTGTCACTTCTAGATCAGACGGATCTAATACTGCTGCTCATGGCTGACTGACAGCTTGCCAGTACTATTACAAATACTGACAGGAACTAGAGAGGGGAGCTCACTCCGTCATGCGGCACCCGGGTCTCGAACTGCTGAACTACTGACCTTCCACAGCCTGCAGTTCAGCGTCTTAACCACTTGAGCCACCGCAGCTCCTTACTTTTGGATAAGGGGGATTTTAATTGGGAACGTATGCTGGTGGAAAGGGGTACAATAT